ATTCACATCCAAAATGTTTTCCAGAACAAACTGTTTCACAATGGTCTGTGACAGCGTTTGTTTTGTTTATCCTCCGATGGAGGAGAGAAACTGAGGCCAAAAGATGAGTTGGCATTTCCAAGCCTTTCACGCATGTCTGGGACCAAGAGGATGAAAATGCCCTCACACCTCAAGTCAATTCTGTATCAGTGTATCAGCACAAGAAAAGAATAAGACGCTTTTGAGAGTGTGTGACAAGTGGTCTGAGTCATGAGATCTGGTTTGGACAATAAAATGAAGGAAACAGCCAAAGGCCTCTCCTCTGCAGCTCCTCCAATATGGGCTTCCTGGACAGCACAGCAGCCTTGGGGAGGCAGGGGCTCACAGGACAATTCTCTCAGCTGGAAACTGGAAGGGCCTGTGTGTGTAGCCTCAGGCAAGTGACCTCAGAAAGTAGGAGTGAGGCCCTGGGGAAGTTGAGGCTGACAAGAAGGAAAAGCCAACTTTGGGAAGCGTTATTAGGCTGGTCACGGCCACAAGAAAGCAGCCGGGGCTCCAGCCAGCCAGCATTCCATGAAGAGCCAAGTGGAATGCCGGCCAGAAGCATCCCCAGGGGAGCACAGGTGGGGGAAGCACACGTACCCTGCCCTCCGGCCTTGGGACTTGCCCTGAGCAGCGGCTTTGTGTCACTCTGGCCTGCACACACACGTGGTGCCTCCCAAGAGCAGAAATCAAAATTCTGTGTCAATACCAGGTGCTTCTTAGCCAAGGGTATCATTCCCCGTGGCCACAGCAGGGAGGCCAGGTGAGACAAGAGGAACCTAAGCCTGGGGGCCCCCAAATTCATCACCCAACAAATCTTTTCTTTCTTCTTAAAAACGCACATACTCATCATTCTGGAAGATGCCCTGACATTCCAAGTTTGGCCTGCACACTCTGTTCTCCCACAGGCCCTCCCATCCCTACCACGGTCCATCCTCTTTGCTGCTTCCTGTCCAGCAGAAGGGAGCAGGAACCTGCCTGCCAGTGTGTCTCCTGAAGCAGCTCCAGCCGGGCTCCTCTCCCCTCTGCCTATAAGGCCCGATGTTCAGATGTCAAAGATCTGACTTTTTGTAGTTGCAAAGAGCCATGCAGAATCACTGTTTTGGGGATGGCTGTCCTCGCAGCTGTAACCTTGATGCCTTTCCATTCATTTCCTCTAACTGCCAAGGGCTAGAGTAGCAATGCCCTTTCCCTCTTTTGCACGTGTGCAGGATGGGAGTTTCAGATGTTGTTTACCTGCTAGAGGTGGAGTGGAGGCTTCCCAAAGCAGCAGGATGTGCCCACTTAAGGACGGCATGGCGACAGGGACTGAGAGAACAGGGTGTCTTTCCTAAGAGGCAGCGTCCCTCAGGGACTGAGCCAATCAGAGCGCCCGCAAAGCCTGCGTGCCCTAAGGACCGTGATTTAACCTGCTTGGGTTCCATTCGATTGCGTTTGAGACCCTTTTCCTAATTGTGCCTGTGGCGCGTGGTTCATAATCAATGCTCAGTTCGTGGTGAGCTCGCCTTCGTCCCCCAAATGTGAACGTCTCCAGCTTCCCATTTCCCTTCCACTCCTCACTCTAAGTCCTTAAATTGGGTGACCATTAATATTACTGCTAGGAGCATTTTCAGAGTACTTTACATTTAAAGCTCTTTTTCCTTCCCAAATAGTTCTAGGCCCTTTCTGCAGAATAGATATTAAAAACATCTTATTGGACACATTCCTTTCCCCAGAGGATACATCATGAATGTGGCTGGAGAAGACAGGGTCATAATTCAGAGAATTCAGGGTTGATTTTCCTTACCTTCCAGCTCTTTTGCTGTCAAGTCTGGAGGCCCAGGAAGTGCTGCCAAACTACCCCTTGCTTTTCCCTCCAAGAGCAGGGCAGAATAAATTGCTATTTTGTTTGGTTTTGTTTCCCATATACAAGACCTCCCAGGCCCTGGAACCCAGGCTGCTGGCATTTTAATTAATGTTAATGTCTGGGCTGACCCCCACCCTGCTGAGTCTGAGTAAGGGAAATAAACGGGCAAACTCCAACGGAACAAAGCAATGTGTGGAACGGTACCCTCTGGAAAAGCTGACCTCTCTGACCGCTGGCCGGCTCTCTAACCAGGCCCACACTCCTTCCCCATATCCCCCAATTTTGAATTTTTTAGATCAAATAGAAATCATTTGCAGGGTGAGGGGCGGGGGAAAGCGGGTAGATTTCTTCCTTTAATACAAAAATGATTCTTGGGTCTCAGAATCGGAATCTCCACTTTCTCATTACTAGGAGCATTTTTACTCAGAGATCAATACAACGAGAATGTGTCCAACCATGACTTGACAACAACAGAAAAGATACAAAGCAAATGCCTTCAAATACCTGGAATCTGGCCTTGAAATCAAGCTGGCATTTAAATCGACACTTATCCCAGTTGGGTCAAAACACAGCCAAGGCTTCCCCCAGAGATACTGTGTTTTTTCTTTTCAAGTAAATTTTTATTTTTCCCCCAACCTTTACGGCTTAAGTATTTTATCCAGTTTAAACGATGGGGATTTAAATTGCTATTTTAGTGGAAGAGGCTTGATTAAAACCTGTGTCCTCATCAAATTATTGGACAGTGGTTCTTGGGCTCTGTTTACATTAGTGTCAACCTTAATTTAAATTCCGCATAACTATATTTGCTTCGCTAAATGCATTCACCAGGAACACACCACAAATTACTTTGCATTATGAGCAGAGTCTCTTTGTCTATTGCAAAGTGTTTTGAAATTAGCACCATAAGTAACTAGCTGTAAGTGTCACTCCATCTCCTTAATACCTCATTAATCAAAGTACGCGGCAGCTGGTGGGATGTCCAAGCCCCTCACATATAAGATCAGTATCATTTGCTCCTTGCATTTGAGGACAGTCTTTAAACTTGATTTGTTATCTGCCCCTGCATTTGCCCCTGCTGCAGCTCCTCCTTCAGTGGCCTCCCAACACGTGGGGCTTTGCATGGATACCAGTTGCATGTGTACTCTTTTTAGAAATTGGAGGTAAAAACCCATTTCCCCATGTTGTGGAAATGCACAGCCTCAAGGGCAGGAAATTCTTTTAATGGAAGAAGAGTTCCACCAATTTCCCTGAGTTAGGCTCAGTGATTGCCCATGATTTTCAGATTAGTACTAAAATGCCACAATGGAAAAATTTCGCTGGGCAAGTTCTTCTCTATGTGGAAAATTAGATAAAAGAATTACATTTATCCAGGCAGACTACCATTTCCATCTTGGCCTCAGTTCCACCCCCCAAAAAAATATACATTTAGTCTAAGTACCTAATTAGGAAAAAAATGTATTAGTTCCCTTATTATGTGATATGAATTATTCTGTACTAAATATGAAATTTTAGAATTTATGCTTGCAAAAAAATACAGAACAATTTATACTTAACAATTTTATTACATGTACACACAAAATCATAGCAAAATATGACATATTGTATAGGATTTTCTTTTTGTCTTTTCATGGTGCCATCGAATATTTGCAAATGCCTAAATGGAACCCATTCTTCATTCTCCACACCTTTTCCCTACATCACACACAAGTTCAAACACACACACACACACACATACACACACACACACACACACACACACACCCCTATATACATTCATCCTTTTAATCAAAGATAATACTCACTGGCATTAAAACTAACAGCTCTACTGGCCAGTGGCTTCGTGGACATGTTCGAGGCTGCCTTAAGTCTGGTGTGTGCACAGGCACATGGGATGTGATTTCCCTGCAGGGAAGCCCTCTCTGTGGCTGTGTGGGACACGTGTGGTCCCTCGCCTGCCAGCGCTGAGCTCAGCCTCACCGTGAGCCGAGATGAACAGGTGCTCTCTTCTCTGGCGGCAGCTCTTGAGGTCCGTCTTTGCAGAGCAGTGTCTCAATGGGATGCCTTTAGCTTCATGCCCTTTCCTACTGACCACCCAGCAGGAAAAATATATGAAAGTGTTTTGTTTTGTTTTGTTTTTTCCTGCCAGTTTTGTCAGTCAGACAAAATACAAAAACAAAACAAACAAACAAACAAACAAAAAAACTACTCAGCATTAAAACTTTGTATTTCCCACAGGTGGGCTTCTGAAATGTTTAATGCATTCACAGTAAACCATTAGTTTTCTTTGGAATTAACCTTTTTGCCTTTTCACCTTATAAAACAATTAAAGCTAAATGACCACATTACAATAGAATTAAGCATTGTAGCCTGGTTCCCAAAATCAGCATCAGTGGAAAAACCCACTGAGTCGGAACACATACCAACCGTGCAAACCTGTGTCAGCTTTTGACTTTCATATCAACTTAATGTAACGTAGTTTATGTCATTATCACATCTACTTTCTCTTATGTTTAAAATAGGCTCTAATTTTTAAAAAGCAGACGTAAAGGTATTTTGATTATTTGTTGGCATTTATTTCTACTGTAGGTGTAATCTAAGGCAATTATAAAAGTACCTGGTATGTCCCATCTCCAGTTCATCCTGCTTTACCCTGAGTCCAGCAACCTTTATTCATCAGGATTCTGAACAAAATAAGTGTGGAAAGGAGAAATCCAAAATGATATTCAGAAGTGGCAAATCGTAGCTGAACACAGTTTTAAAATTGACAATTTAAAACTTTTGCCTCTTTTCAGCAGCCAGAAGAAGTCTGATAATTTCAACCAAAATCTCTGCCCCAAAACCCCCTTTCCCTGTACTCCGTGAACACCTCTCCCCCTTTTCCTCTAAAGGTAACATTTTGGCTTGGCAACCAATACACGTCACTGAACTCTTCCATTTAAATGCCCAACAAAAATTGCCTCTGATCACCGCTTGCAAAAAGAAAAGAAAGAAAAAGAAAAGAAAGAAAGAAAGAAAGAAGAAAGAGAGAGAGAGAAAGCAATCAAGAAAGCAAGCAAGAAAGAGAAATGAAGGAAGGAGGGAGGGAGGGAGGAAGGAAGGAGGGAGAGAAGGAAGAAAGGAAGGAAAGGAGGGAGGGGAAAAAAGAAAAGAAAGAAGAAACCACAAATCAGACACAGGCAATGTCAATGTCCTATATGCCTGCCCCATCTGTTCCTTCATTCCCTCCCTCACCATCCTTTTATAAAATAAAAGAAAGCCAAGCATAACTTGTTACAGTAAAGGCACCCCGAGATTTAGGAAGATAAGCACAAGCCTTACTTGTTAGCTGCAATGCTGCAGCTGTGCTCTTATCTGGCCAAAGGAGACAGGGGACAACAAAAGATCCTAAAGAAGGGACGGTGGACGCATGGGAAAACCACTAGCCCAGCCTTGTGGTGCCCTTCTGCTGAGCAAATAGTTCAAACTGTTCATTCCCATCTTCTATTCTCTCCCTGGTACATTGTTTGTGCCCTTGCATTTCATTCTGCAAGGAAGGTTGCTCTCTGGGCCGATAAGCAAACAGTCCAGAAAAGGGCTAGCCACCCTCTTCTCTTCCCGGGAGAACTAGCATTTTTATTTCGGCTCCAAGCTGTCAAAGATCTGGAGAGTTTATGTCAGTGTCCTGAATTAATTGCTTTAAGCTGGAGCAAGCTCCGTGGGCTACCAAATGTCCAAAAGATGTTTATTAATAACATTTCCTCCAGGACTGTGGCTCCAAGCTGTCTCTGGGCCGCGGCTTTTCTATGCTGCCACCCTCTCGCCCCTGGCCTCTTAGTGCTAAGGAGGGGGGTTGCCTCTTTCAGTCATCGTGACAAAATTTAGAATTGCCTGGGGTGAAATAAATATCTACCTATGTCACAGGATGTGCATGGCGGATATCTTTGTCTTGACCCAGAAAGAGTTACGGAAGCCCCGTGTGCAACCCACAAGAGGGCTGGGGGACGCAAAAAGCAGCCAGGACCCCCCTCTGTGAAAGTTCATTTAACCAATACAATTAGCAAAAGGAGCAGGAGAAATCGAGGCTTCAGCTTCTCCGCCCCATCTCCTCCTCCAAAAGAAAATTCAGCGAGGCTGACAACACAATGTATTTTGAAGTTTTCCTGGTACTAAAAAAAAAAAAAAGAAAAAAAGCCTCTTTAATAGAATGAAATAATAAACCAATTTATATACCGATATAAGACTAGGATCGTGAGTGACATTGTGTAATTTTCCACTTGACTTTTCATTATCTACCTGAACAAAATCAATCTATATGTATGGGATCAACATACAATTCCAGAGATAAAAGCTGAAAATAAATGCGCTTTGCATATCCTGGAGATAAAAGACACAATCCTTGGTGCTGCCTTTTCCTCTCCAGCAGATGCATTTATAAAATAAATTGTTGTGTCAAGGAAAAAGCGAGACGTAGCAGTGTATCTTGAGTGTTGACTCCTTTGCTGGAAATATTGATCCTGCAAATGAACAGTGGTTAATAAGTACCCTGCAGACGATATCAGGTCTTTTGCCCTAGTTTACCCAGAGTGCAGTCTGGGTCAGTGTTTCTCCCAACCTCCATTAAAAAAAAAAAAAAAAAAAAAAAAAAAGACTTCCCCTATTAGCATGGATTTAAAGCTGAGGACTTCAAGGGCTTTTTAAAGCCACTCTACAGAGATAAAGCACATTGAAAATTCACATCATGTTAGAAAACCCCATGCAGCAAATGCCCAGCTTGTGAAGCACAGGACCCTCAAAAGGGAAGGAGAGATGGTTCCATGTACTTTAGGGTTGACATTTATTACTTTAAACAGGTTGGGTTCCATTTCTTGTATGACCTTCTTTGCTCCAATAGTTAGCAATGGTGCTAAGAGTAGTAAGGCTCTCTTTGCATTGACCATGACATGGGTCCTTCCTAATTCCCTTTTTTGTGGAATATGTCACTGAATCTGTGTGAATCTGTGTGACCTGGTGGGCAGATGGCGGGGCATTGTTGAGGGTGCCCTGGCTGTTTGTGTGTCCTGTTGTGTTCAGGGCTCTTTGAGGAAAGTACACCCACTCTGCCCTCCCAGGGTGGGCTCACTTTGGTTGCTAGTCACCTTCCTGTAAGGGAGGGGCTCATTCCCAATGTTGTATAGAGAGGCCCACAAGGCATGGGACCCTCTTTCACCCCAAACAATCACTCTGAGTTTGTGGATATTTTCTGGTCATAGAAAGAGATTTCCAAAAATTATCTACTCTTCATTGTTAATTCATTGTAAGTTTCAGCGACCTCAGGGGAGCTTAAATATCTACCTTGGCAGTGTGACTGTCACAGCTTCAGTTCTGACGACAGGACAAATCCACACTTGTATATTTTAGGATCTTTGCCTCGACAAACATTAATGGCTGTTGGTCTATTGCTCCAGCACAATTTTGCAATTCCCAATGTTCATGTACCTGCTTCCCATCTCCTGAGCCCTGTATCCATGCACAGCACCCATCTGGGCTGTGACCATTGCCTCTCGATTAGCAAGTCTGGTGCTGTGTTCCATTCCTGAGTTTATATTTGTTGAAAACTCGGAGGAAAGTGTCCAGGAGCAATCCGATGCAGTGTCATGGCCTTTGGGGAAGTGCTTGGGAGGGTCAAAGCTCAGCCTGGGGAGCAGCTCACATGCTTTTAGTCACAGGACACCCTTTGGATAATTAGTGTGCTTTATTCATCTCATCTTTTTGTTCCAGTAGCTGTCAATAAGCAAATCTAGAAAAAACGTAAGAATGTGGTCAAGAAGAGGTATGCAGTCATTAGACTTCTGTTTAAAAAGGGAACACCATTCTGAAGGCATGTTTTAAAAGGGCCTTATATTCTCATGAAAAATGATGCCTGGAATGGCTACAGCTTTCAGCCTTGGTGAACTCCAGGCTTATTTGATCCATGTTTTTTACTCTGTGATTCAATTCTGCATCGTAGGGAACCGGTACAGTGACATAAGAGCTTCAACCAGCATAAAGGAGCTTTGTGCCCCGTAAGTTCCGTGAGGAAAGACAACGCACCAAAACAGGGTGCTATTTCCACAGATAAACCTGCTCAGAGTGGAAAATGTCTTGCTAAGCAGCCTCAGAACCATCTTTTCAGTCTGGAACAGTGCCTCAAGCCCAGGCAGAATCCTGACACAGTGGAACGCAGCCCATGTTGATGAAATACATATTTACTAAACAGGAGAAAGTGAGTTTTTCAAAAAGGTATTATTATAACATTTTTAGTGACCATTACTTAGTTGAATTATCTTGATGCCATTTCCAAGGGGAGGAAAAATGGACAGCAAGAAGTCCAGTAAATTTATGTAGATGCACATGTTACAATAAATACAATCTGACAGAAAGTTATCAACTTTTGCATTTTAAAAATGGTGCATCAACAGTTCAGATCTTTACAAAAAGAGAGGAAAGGTTTCAAACAATTCAAAGTCCAATGTGTCCCTTCACATCAGGCTTGACAGAGAACCGAGAAGCCCATTTCACAGGTAAACTAAAGTGGGATAGGTATTTCATTTAACCTTTTATCAGGCCAGATGGGAATGCTTTCCAACATTGTTTTGATATTGGAGGGAAGGAGTGGGAATGGGAATTGGGTGAAACATGGTGCTCAATCAGAATCTCTTGCAACTCTTCTAGAAGCATTCGCTGGAACTTAGTGATGGTAAAATCCCTCTCCTGGGCTTTCTGGATTGCCAACACAGATATCCACTCAGAAGAGGATGAGTTCTCGGAATGGGGCCAGAAGAGGACTTTGCTCTTCCCTAAATACACCACAAACTCCACAGTACTTAACATGTTCTTCAAGTGGTCCCTGATCAAGACAGTTTTTTTTTTTTTTTTAAATGGAAAGAAACACAACTGTCATTTATCCATGGTGACATCTTGAACAGTGAATTAAAATTTTATTTTGAAAGCATGCTGTCACTGCAGAAAAGTTTCTGGATTGTAACACTACAGAATGCTATGAGAAACACATACGATTTATTCTGTCTTATAGTCTATCTCAACTTGTTATACAATGTTCTAAATGTGTAAAACTAAGTGAAACATCTCTAAAACTAAATTAACATTTGACTCATAAAGCATTGCTTAGGGGAATGCAAGAAGGTGGCTGGCCCCTCCTCTCATACATATCCCTGTTTTTCTTGACTTAAAAATGTCTCAAGTGTATTTCTTAAATATGTTTTCATTATTTAACAGTGAGAAATATGTACCTTACTCCTTTTCTCCTACCAGGTTATGGAACTCAAGAGCACATAATGTCAGGGAGGGAAACATTGCTTTTAAAGAAATATGAAAACAGTTGCTCCATTTCATAACTGGGGTTATAACAATATTATGGCAATTTCCTTTAAAATAGCACTTGACACACTTCAACAGAGGGAGTGTCAGGCATTCTGTTTTGTATGACTCCCGGCTGCACCAGCCCCAGCTGTGTCATACAGTTGATATAACATGGGGTGCCTAAAAGTCGAGTTAGGTGTTCAAATGTACTTTATTTTCTTTTTTGAGAAATTCTGCAAGATAGAGATGTAAATTCACAGCCAAACACGGAAAGGATTGCGGGGTGCAGGGGGGGTGGTTCTGAGAGGGTCCTTCTAAAAGGAACTGTCTGTTCCCTGCAGAAATGACCATGTCTCGTCCCAGGCATCACTTAAAGTTCAACAGGAGCATGTGCAGTCTGGCACAAGAAAGTGCTTTGCCCTCAACCTCCCAATGCCACTCGCACTTTAAAAGTGATCAGTACTTGCTAAGTATTGACCGTTTTTAATAAACCAGAAACGGCATCCCAGAATCTCTGCACACTGACCTGTGAATTGATGAAGCCAAAAAACACTGGTGACACCCATTTCTCTCCCTTTGCTTTCCTCCGAGAAAAAAAAGGTCAGTAGGAAACACACTGGGAGTTGTTTGTGGTTGTTTTCTTTTTGTTTTGCTTTTCTTTTCTTTGAAAAAAAAAAAAAAAAAAAAAAAGGTAAGCGTCCATTTCCAAATAATTTGAAGCGAGATCATTCTAGTTAGTGAAGAGTTTCAATGGCAGCTTTCCTAGAAACTCCAGACTGACTCGAACAGCAAATACTGAGATGCGGTTCCGTCCCACTTGTGAGGTTTTCTTTTTCTTTTTGAGTAAATAAATAATTTTTAAAAGCCACAAAAGAAGGGAGACAAATTATTCGATATTTTGCTTGTTATCAAGGTAATTTTACATTTATAAAGGCACACTGGCTTTCAAAATGTTTAATGTTCCAGTCTTAGCTGAAAGTTCTTGTCATGTCCCCCAAAATGGGCCTGAATTGATGTGAGGTTTTATACAGACTTTAGGTCTGGTGAAGGTAATTTTGTGGAACTATGTGTTATGGTTTGGGGTGAAATTAAACTCTACACTTGACTCCAGTGTTCATTCTGAGCTCTTTATGATTGCATGTGTTTTTCCTATTTGTACTCGCCTTCTTCAGCCCTGCGTGCGCGTACAGATGGTTACATTCTCATACTGGGTACCCGGCGAAGGTCGCATGCTTTGCATCAATGGCAATTAGTTCCTTTTTAAAAATTGAAAATGTCATTAAGTTCTTGAATAATTCAAGAGTGGAGGTCACAATACAGTGTCCCTTTTGGGGGTCTTTATGGTGCAAATGGCAAAACAAGGCGATCCTATCAGTAAGAGTAGATCTAAGGTTTACAATGTAGCTCTATTTAGTGTGACAAGAAAATTAAATTACAGGAGGCACTCACTCATTGTCACCCTTTAACAGGCTTGGGAAAATTGTGAATCCCTGGGGGCAAATCACTGACGACGTGTGAGGGGAATAAAAATATTTCATTTTAATCGGCGGTTGTTTCCGTTGCTTGATTTTGAAAACGACAAACATAAACACGTCCCCCACAGCTCTCCTTGGAAATAGGGTCCCGAGTCTCCCAAACACGACCCCAACTTACAGTCTCTGCCCAGAGGCAGGCGGGTTAACCGCTCTGGGGAGCCTGGGTCTGTTTCCTCAGACATGGTTGAGCTGGATTTTATCCAGGGGTTCCTGGAAAGGAAAATACAGGGACAGGTTTCAAATAAAAATGGGCGTCCACTACTCAGCTCCCCGCCCCCATCGGAGTCAGCTGGAGTGCAGTTATTATGCTTCTGGAACGGAGGGCTGACCTTCGATTCTATCAGGACTGAGGGGGAGAAAGGGAAGACAGAATGACGCCGAGGCCACCCATTCTTTCTCCTCTCCAGAGGAAAAAGAGTCCGAGCTCCTTTTGAGATCTCGGGTCGGAGACCTTGCAGCTCGGGCTGCAGCGGGATGGACGAGGGTTGGAAGAGGAGAAAGTGCAGGCTGGGGGAGCGAAAGGAAAATCCCGAGGTCATTGAATGACAAGAAGGTGTTGCCAGGGCCCTGCCAGCAGGTCCTACCCTCCGATGGCCTCCCCAGGGTCCCGCCCCCCATCCTAGGCCCTTCGGGTGTCCCCCGCTTAGGACTGGTGGGCGTGGCCGCCTGGGTCGGTCTCCCACCGCAGCGGGGTCGCGCTTCCAGCCTTGACCCAAGGGCGCCTGCCTGTTCACCCAGCGGGCTCTCCCGGACGGGGCCGACCTTGGCACCTGCTGGAGAAACCGGGACTCGCCTGTGCTCCGGGAGGCTGGAGAGCGATGGGGAGGGCGAGAGAGGAATGCAGCTGACAGAGCCCACGGCGACAGGGTGGGACTGGCCGGGTCCGGTGGGGTTGGCTGCCTAGAGTCGGTTCCCTGCGCTCTGTAACTTGTCGGGGGGAAAGGCAAAAATGACCGTCCCTCTGCCTCGCGCTCTTTGCGACCTCTCCCCTCACCCACAAGTGACATTTAGCAGACATTTTCCTTTCCTGTCCTCCTCCACTAAGACCCTTGGAAGTCCCATGTCAGCTAAGCGAGCGTTGAGGGGGGCAAGGAGAAGCCCCCGGAGGGCCAACCCCGGTTCCGCGTTTGCGCAACTCGCCAGCCGGAGCTCGCCAGGCCGGGAAAGCCCGACGGACCCGCCGGGACCCGGGGGCTCTGCGGACCCCGGGCCCGACCAGCGCACCGGCGCGCCCGAGCGGCCCCTGCTGCCTGTCCCCGGGGATCCCGGCACCCTCAGCCTTCCCGGAGCCGGAGCACCCGCTGCGGCTCGAGACCGAGGGAGGCTGCTCCGAAGGTCCCGGGGCCACTCGCGGGGAGCCAGAGCCAGGCCGTCAGCCCACGGCTAGGGGCTCACCCAGGACTTAGGAAAGGGGGTGCTGCTTTATTTCGGAAGCAGGTTGGACTCGGTGAACACCTAGAGGAGGGAGGCATTTAATTTTTACACACACACACACGCACACACACACACACACACGCATATTCCAACGTGATTTGTCTTAGGGAGAATGATTTGTACGTCAACTTTGGTAAATTTCCTAGCAGAATTAAAGAACGAGGTTGGTGCCTGGGATGGGGGCAGGGAGAACAGTGAGGGGGCAGTTTAGATGTTTTTCCTTTTCTAAATGATTCAATTTAAGCAAACACTTGGGGGTTTCAGGCCGCTGTAATTCCAAAGACAATTTTCCCTGGTTTTAATTTGATTTGCATTTTTTCACCTTTGATAATATTCAATTTCATGGCTGAATACACATGTAAACACCGTTAGGTCGTGTTTTTCGCCCCTCTCACCAAACAGAATTTCGCTTGTCTCGGTGCCACGGGAGGTTACACCCCGCGTCCTCAAAATATCTGCAAGTTTCTCTTAAATTATTTTTCAAAACTTAGCGCGGCAATTTGCCTGAGCTTCAGAGGTGGCGAACTGAAATAGATGTAAACTACTAAACTAGCCAAGATGTGGGAAGGCCTGCACAGACCCTGAAAAACGAAGGCAGTAAAGGAAACAAATTCCTGTTTGATACAGAATCACTTCTATTTTCACCCAGCATTATTTTTCCATATTGTATTAATAGTTTTAAACAATCCAAAAATAACAAATAAATTATCTTCTCCCAGAAATGTTTTTAATGAGGATTTCATTGCTAGAAAGACAAACATTGAGAAATATAAAGAGATCATCTTTATAAGGAGAGGTTTAATTGCCACTATTAAGCTCTTTTATCAAACGTAAAATATAGAAGAAAATGCAACGCGAAATTTGGAAATAAGCGTTAGTCATATCAAAACTGATATTCAACAAACTTGCACTGCCAATGACTATGAAAATAGGGTGATGTGACCTGCCTGTGAGAAGTCAGGACAAAACTGTAGTGCGAGAATATGACACGGTGTTTCATCCTCAGGACACAACCTAGACTTTTCGCGAAGAAATACTTGGCACCTAATAAATTTAACAAAACTCCAAATGCATTTTATACTCTATTTACAAAACTGTGCTGGAAAAGGAAAGGACAGGCTTCTTTGGTTTGTCCAAGAATACCTTATAAAATAAAATGGCTGTCTAATTTCCAGAGCTACCCTTCATTTAGAAATACATATAAAGATATATATCTGCTTGCTATTGACTAATGTGGAACACTTGATACTGTATTTCTACAGTAGATACAATATTTTGATCTTAAACAGAAACACAATAGAAAACCTAGATACAACATTTCTATCTTAAATCCTAAGAATTTGCAAATTACCATGCTTGTTTTATTTTAAAAATCCTAAAAAATGAAACAGATCTGTGAAATCTAAATGCTAAAAAATAAAATAGATCTGTGAGACTTCTTAAAGGGTTTTATGCTCCAGGCTAGCAGATAACAGGTAACTGTATTTTTAGTTGAGGTGATCTAATATGGAAAATATCTTTTATCAAGTGAAAGGCATTTAGGCAAACAAGAAAAGAATTCCATTCGAAATGCAACAGACTTTGAAAGAGAAAGTCCCTTAATTTAAAACACACACACACACACACACACACACACACACACACTCGTGGCAGGCTGACTGACAAATGTCTTTGGGAAAACTATTCTTTATCATTTGGCTTCTTTTTTTTTAAAGTGTTATTAAATTTAAGTTATTATTGTTTAGGATTTGCACTAAGCTTTTCTGTTGTTTTGGAAGGCTGGCAATTATGCCTACTTTATTTTATACAAATAGATGGCAGGGTACGCACGCTCCACACAATTGCTTCACAGCAAACCCGTTCTTACAGACAGAGCTAATGAGAGGCGCTAATTATAACACACAATCTATTCAGAGAATGCAAACTGGGGACAATGGAGTACATCTTTCACTTTTTCTATTAGTAATTGAGGAGTAAATGGGGATCTTGTAAGGACCTTAGAAATTTGATCATCAGTGAATGAGTTTGCCATTTTAATTTGCTTTCACCTCCAAAACAGATCTGTATTGAGACAGGGCTGCCTCAGCCAGAAGCAGAGCTCCTGCATCACAGACAGAATCTGCCCTCCCTCCACCTTCAACTTTATTCCAATGGGTCTGAGCTGCCAGGTGGGACTTCCAGATGTGGCAGGGTTGGGGGCTTGGGAACTTGGGAAGGTATGCCCCTTGGGAGAGTCATGAGTCCTGAGAAGAAGGCACAGCACCCACCTTTACCCCTGCATAGTGCTCAGCAGCTGGGCGTAGGGAGACCATTCGCTAAGAGTGTCATACAGGGACAGTGATCTGCCTGTTCTTCCATGATGACCAGGAGCCCAGAGGCCTGGACCTGAGGAAGGGAGGGAGGGAGTGTGTGTGTGTGTGTGCGTGAGAGAGAGAGAGAGAGAGAGAGAGAGAAAGAGAGAGAGAGAGAGAGAGAGAGAGGAGGGAGGGAAGAGAGAGATTGCTGAATGCAAGGGAGAAATCAGGCAGTTACTTTTAATTGTTTACTGAGCAAGGGCAAAATCTAAACAGCGCTTGCTGCAATCAATGAAGGGATCGCCTTGGTTTCCAGAGTTGAGCTCCCTAAATGAGCCTGGCATTCTGATAACTGCAGGTGAGCACCTGAGATCAACTCCCTCCCACTGCTCCATGCTGGGAAGTGATAGGGACGTGTTTGTTCGTGAGCTCTGGGAAGGGAGAGGCATGAGGGGGATTTAATTGTCTGCCTGGGTGAATCGAAATGTCCTTTAAAGCAAAGAAATCAAGAGAGATTGGTCTTTAATTGGTAACCTCTGCTGATGGGGGGGAGGTAGTAATTAAAATGGGAAGAGGACAAAACAGATTAGCTACCCCTTCCCCCTCTGTCTCACCCCCATAAACAGTCCCCAAAATTGCATTCCCCTCTGCTCTGGCCGTCTTTACAAGGCTCAGTACACAACCTGGTTGTGGGTAGCTGTATCATTCTCCTGCCCCACCTTAGTCTAACACTCAGTCATCCAGTTTGGAGAGAGAATACGGTTTTATCTCGAACCTCTTCCCTTCGAAGAGTTGGCCATCCACATGCCAACAGCGTGTGGAGCTGGCCTTAGAATCCAATTGTCTTAGTGTCTCTGAAATCCCGAAATAGAAGATGCTAAATCTTCAGGGAATCCCACACCACTAAAAACAGACAGGCCAGGTAACTAAGCTTCCCAGATATTGAAAAGTAAAGGAGACCTCCACGCCAAGCCCGAGCCCTGATTTGAGGAGGGCTAGTGTCGAGTTCCACCCTGTGTCCCCCAGAGCCTGGCACAAGCAGGTGCTCAGCCACTGTTCCGTGTATGCTCAGATGCACTCTGCTGGAGTGGTGCTCTTCTCTAACTCTACAGTCCTACTGGGTGCTGGGTCAAGTCCTCCCTCCCTGAGGGCTGCAGGCTGACCCACCTAGGCCAGCATCCTATTCGGGGGCAAATCCCAGAAGCAGGTGTTTATGGAGATCTGCATTGGTATATATGTGAGTGGTGGGAGGAGGAGGCGTGTTATGGGGCCTGGGGGCCAGGGCTGTGGGTGGCGTATGCATTCCAGCTGTCCTGTCACCTGTGTTTTCAGGCCACCAGGTGCAGGTCAGGGGGAGGTCAGAGGCAAGAGCCTCTCAGGACATTCCTAGCCCCTGCTCCCAGAATCCCCTGGTAGGGAATAAGGCAGAAGGCTGTAGCTCAGAAATGAATTGGCTATGTGGATTATTTTAAACTTATATGT